CAGAAAACTGATATACTTATTTATAGACCATGCTCTTTCATTCCTCTGTGTCTTTGTTCCTTTTTTTATGGCCTGAAATGTTCTTGTTCTCCCTTGCCTGCTTGGTGAACACCCACTAGTCTTTCTAGATTTGGTCTACGCCATTTCCTTTACGAAGCCTTTCTGACTACTCCACTCACTGGTAGAACTGACCTCTTCCTCATTCTGTGCCCTACCATACCCTGTAAATGCTTCTGTTTTATTATCTACAACACTTAACAATTTATTCATTTGTTATTTTGGTTTTTCTCTTCAAGACTCTAAGCTGCTCAAGGATAAGTACTGTTCTTAGATATTCTTATCCCAATGCTCCTGGCACATAACTTTTATTAAAGATTTATTTTTTCCCTCTACAATTCAATGGCCTTTAGGATAAACACAAATTTTCACAAACATCCCACAATCACAGAACATTTTTCATTACTCCAAAAAGAAATCCTCCATCCCTTAGTCATCATCTCCCCATTACTGAAAGTAATCGACTTTCAGTCTCTGAGTTTTTGCTTATTTGGGACATTTCATACCTAGGAAGTTGCATGATATGTGGCCATTTGTGTCTACCTTCTTCTTTTTTTTTTTGAGACAGAGTCTCGCTTTGTCGCCAGGCTGGAGTGTAGTGGCACTGTCTCGGCTCACTGCAACCTCCCTTCCCAGGTTCAAGCAATTCTCCTGCCTCACCCTCCCGAGTAGCTGAGACTGCAGGCACCCGCCATCACGCCCGGCTAGTTTTGTATTTTTAGTAGAGACAGTGTTTTATGATGTTGGCCAGGATGGTTTCAATCTCTTGATCTCATGACTTGCCCACCTTGGCCTCCCAAAGTGCTGGGATTCCAGGCATGAGCCACTGCGCTTAGCCCTGTGTCTACCTTGTTTTGCTTGGCATGTATTCAAGGTTATTCATATTGTACTTTGTTTCTTGTTTTTGCTGAGTATTCTATTGTATGGCTAGACAACATTTTATTGATCCATTGATCAGTTGTTGAACACTTGAGGTAATTCTACTTTTTGACTATTGTGAATAATGCTAACATTTATGTATATGTTTTTGTGTGGAAATATGTTTTCAATTTTCTTGGACATAAATCTAGAAATGGAACTATTAGATCATATAGTAACTTTATGTTTAACCTTTTGAGGAATTGCCAGATGGTTTTCCAAAGCATTGCAACATATTAAAAAAAATTTGAGGTGAAATCCATATAACATACAATTGCCCCTTTTTAAAGTGTGCAATTAAGTGATATTTAGTGCACCCACAGTGTTGTACAGCTATCACCTTTCTACAGTTTCAAAACTTCATCATCCCAGAAGTACACTTTGTACCCATTAAGCAGTCACTCCTCATTCTCTCATCTGCCATCCCCTAACCCAGTAATCTGCTTTCCATCTTTATGAATTTGCCTGTTTCAGATATTTCATGAAATAAGAATCATACAGTATGCAGCCTTCTGTCTTACTTCTCTCAAACAGCACAACTGTTTTTGAGGTTCATCCAAGTTGTAACACATATCAGTCCCTCATTCTTTTTTAAGACTGAGTAATATTCCATTCAGTGTATGTATATTCCAATGCATATACCACAATTTGTTTATTTACTTATTTGCTGGTCAATATTTGGATTGCTTCCATCTTTAAACTACAATGAATAATGCTTCTGTACATATTTGTGCACAAATTTCTGTATGAACATTATGTTTTAATTTATCTTGGGTATATACCTAGTAGTGGAATTAATAGGTCACATTGTATAGGTTGCTGCAAAAGTAATTGTGGTTTTCTCCATACTTTTAATGCCCAAACCACATTACTTTTGCACTAACTTAATAAATCTATGTTTCACTTTTTAAGGAACCATCACACTGTTTTCCACAATGAGTATACCATTTTATATTCCCACAAGCAATGTGTGGTTTCTCTTTCTCTACATCCTCGCCAAAATTTAATAATTTCCTGTTTTCTGATTATAGCCATCCTAGTGGGTGTGATGTGATAACTAATTGTGCTTTTCGTTTTCATTTCCCTTATGACCAATGATGTTGCATATCTTTCATGTGGTTGGTCATTTGTTCATCTTCTTTGTAAAAATGTCTATTCAATTCCTTTGTCCACTTTTAAATTGGTTTGGCATTTTGTTGATGAATTGTAAGGTTCTTTGTATAATCTGAATACTGAACTCTCATCAGACATATGAGTTGCAAGATTGTTCTCTCATTCTGTGGGTTGTCGTTTCAGGTTCTTGATGATATCCTTCAGAGCAGAAGAGTTTTTGATTTTGATATCCAGTTTGCTTTTTCCTTTTTTGCTTGTGCTTTTGGTGGCTAGGAAATCATTGCTTAATTCAAAATTAGAAAGATTTATGCCTATGTTTTCTTCTAAGTGTTTTAAAGCTTTAGTTATACGTGTAGGTCTTTTTGATCCATTTTAAATTAATTTGTGTATATGAGGTATGAGGCAGGGGAACAAATTCATTCTTTATGAATCTTTATTTTTAATTTAATTTAATTTTAAAGAAATGAGGTTCTCGCTATGTTGACCAGGCTGGTCTCAAAGTTCTGGCCTTAAGCGATCCTTCTGCCTTGGCCTCCCAAAGTTCTGGGATTACAGATATGAACCATTGTGTCTAGCCTTTAAAAATTGTTTTATTTAATTTTTTTCAAATTCATTTTTTGCATGTGGTTATTCAGTTGTCCCAGCACCATTTGTTGGAGAGATTATCTCCCCCTGCACCTTCCACATGGAGTTTTCATGGCAACTTTGCCAAAAATCAATTGACGATAAGTGCGACAGTTTACTTGTAAAACTCTCAATTCTGTTCCAGCAATCCTATATGTCTATTTTCATGCCAGTACCATACTGTCTTGATTACTATAGCTTTGTAGTAAGTTTTGAAATTGGGAAATGTGAGTCCTCCAACTTCATTCTTCTTTTTCAAGAACATTTTTTTCCATATGGATTTTAAGATCAGTCTGCCAATTTTTGAAAAGAAGTCATCTGGGATTTTTTGATAAAGATTGTGTTGAAGGCTGGGCACAGTGGCTCACACCTGTAATCCCAGCACTTCGGAAGGCCCACACAGGTGGATCACGTGAGGTCAGAAGTTTAAGAGCAGCCTGATCAACAAGGTGAAACCCCATGTCTACTAAAAATAAAAAAAAATTAGCTGGACATGGTGGTGGACACGTGTAATCCCAGCTAGTCGGGAGGCTGAGGCAGGAGAATTGCTTGAACCTGGGAAGCAGAGGTTGCAGTGAGCCAAGATTGAGTCATTGCACTCCAGCCTGGCCAAAAAGAGCAAAACTGCACCTCTAAATAAATAAATAAATAAATAAATCATGTGTTGAATCTATAGATCAATTGGACAGTATTGCCATCTTACCAATATTAAGTTTTCCAATCCATAAACATGGGAAGTCTTTTTATTTTTATTTTTATTATTTTTTTTGAGACAGAGTCTCGCTCTGTTGCCAGGCGCCAGGCTGGAGTGCAGTGGCACAATCTCGGCTCACTGCAACCTCCGCCCCCCAGTTTCAAGCAATTCTCCTGCCTCAGCCTCCCCAGTAGCTGGGAGAAAGTCTTTTTATTTAGTGAGGTCTTCTTTAACTTCTTTAAACAGTTTTTCTGGTTATTAGAGTACCAGTTTTGCCCTATTTTGGTAAAATTTATTCTTAAGTAATTCATTTTTGATATTTATAAAGTTACTTTCTTAATTTCATTTTTGGTTTGCTCAATGCTAATGTGTAGAAATAGAATTGATTTTTGCATATCGATCTTTTATCCTGTAGTGTTGTGGAACTCACTTACTAGTTCTAATAGTTTTGTAGTTGATTCCATAGGATTTTCTATATATTAGATCATGTCATCTGTGAATACAGATTTTACTTCTTTCTTTCCAAGCTTGATGCCTGGAAAGAAATAATTAAAATGATCTGTATTCACAGATGACATGATACTTGTGCTTCTTGTGTAACTACCATGGCTAGAACTTCTAGAACAATGTTTAATAGAAATGGCAAAATGGACATCCTTGTCTTATTCCTGATGTTAGGAGTAAAGCATCCAGTCTTTCACCATTAAATATAGTAGCTTTTGGTTTTTTGATATCTTGTATTAGGGTAATAAAGTTTCCTTCTATTCTTAGTTTGTCACATGTTTTTATCACAAAGGGTGTTGAATTTTGTCAAATGCTTTTACTGGATTAGAATGACCATGTGATCTTCGTCTTTTATTACATTGATGTGATTGGGTCATATTAATTTATGGATGGTAAACCAATTTTACATTTCTGGGATAAATCCAAATATTTTTTCTTTTTCTTTGACAGGGAATTGAACCTGGGCCATGGCAGTGAGAATGCCGAATTCTAACCACTAGACAACCAGGGACCAAAGAATGGTTGTCTAGTGGTTAGATCTAGCATACACAACTATGAAATTATCATGAGCACATTATGATATCAGGATTGGGTAAGAAGTAACTAAAAAAAATGGCCAAAGAAACAAGATTGGAAAATAACTTCCATTTTCAGATAGTAAGTATTTAGGAAACATTGAAACTTTGAAATTGTTATTGTGTAAATATTTTAAAAGAACATTTATAGATCTTTCACACTCTTTGAATTCCATATTTTTCCTTTAAAGTCTTGGAACTAGACCTTCATAATATTCTAGATTTAATAACACTTAACAACTCATCCTAAATATCCCTGCTTTATAACAATTACTGTAGTGCTTTTCTCAGAGATTTGTTCTGTCCCCATTCCCCCAACCCTTCCTATGCATTGTCCCAAGCGAGAGTATCGTTACCATCTATTCTTCTTACTGGATGTTTTAAAGTACTTGTACAAAAATGGTGTCAGGGATATAGTAAAGTTACTTCTAATCTTTTAATTGGCTTCTGTCCTTATTGCTGCTTGAGCAAAGAGAAAAGACCCTCATAAAAAACTGTAAGGACAAAAGACTTACTTTTAATTGTGGCCCCAAGAATTATCAATATCCCTATTAACAGAGACAAGGGCTTCATCTTCTCTCAAGCAGCTCCTCTTTACTGTAGCACAGGCAGAAACTAGGTGATTGGCCCAAGAGCTCCTCTTCTCAGGGCTGTGGAGGGGCAGGAGTCAGTTGCTAAGCAACCATTTCCTTACTCTTGGGCCAATGGGCTGCCAGGGAATTCCTTTCAAGCTGGAATGAAGGCAGCTGCTGGAGAATGTAGGCTGTGGGAATGATCCACTGCTATTCCTCTGGCTGAAGACAAGGGGTAGGCTAGAATAAGTAGGGGTGACTCTCTAATATGAAACGAAGGGACCAGAAATCCAACTTGTATGTGTCCACATATTCGACTTTGTTCAGAGGTGCTGGAAGTTATTATTTTTATGTTGCCTCTAGAGATATGAACTACATTTATGTAAAAACACAATTAAGTACCTGAACTGATCTGACATCATCCTTTAAGCTGACATCTCTAGGCTATGGTGGACAAGAAACAATGGGCCAACTCTGCTTTGTTCCCAATCTGGATGAAAACCTTTATCCTATTTTTAAGTTAGAAACTGCTGAGAATTTACTGGAACAAAGGCAAACAAAGACTGTTTAAAAATGCCTTTATATACCTCAACATAGTACAGACATTTCACAAGTGGATACCTTTAAAGCTACAATAAACCAAAATGAATATTTAGGGAAAACATACAAATATTAAAAATATCCAATGCACAGAGCTAGTTGAGAAATTACGCCTACAAAAAGTATCCAACTTTTAAAGCATGTCCAGGTAATTACTTCAGAAATAGACATTTTATTGTCTTGAATTTACAATTTTACTTTTTTTATTAGTTTCCCGTTGCTGTGGTAAAACATTACCACAAACTTCATGGGTTAAAACAACAGAAATTTATTCTCTCATAGCTCTAGAGACAAGAATTCCAAAATGATTCTTACAGGGCTAAAATCAAAGACAGGGCTAGCTCCTTTTGGAGGCTCCAGGGAAGAATTCATTCTTGGCCTGGAAATGTTCAGCTTCTAAGTGGCTGCCAGCATTCCTTGATTTGTGGCCACATCATTTCAGTCTCTGCTAAGTTATCACTTGCCTTCTGTAGTTTAGTCTCCTTTTGTCCTCCTCTTATAAAGATACTTGTGATTACATTTAGGACCCACCAACATGATTTGGGACAATCTCTTTCTCTCTCAAGATCCTTAATGTCTGCCAGGCATGGCAGCTCACGCCTGTAATCCCAGCTCTTTGGGAGCCTGAGGCAGGTGGATCACTTGAGGCCAGTAGTTGGAGACCAGGCTGGCCAACACGGCAAAACCCTGTCTCTACTAAAAACGCAAAAATTAGCCAGCTGTGGTATTGGGCGCCTGTAGCCCCAGCTACTTAGGAGGCTGAGGCATGAGAAGAGCTTGAATCCTGGGGACGGGGGCCTGGCGGGTGGAGGTTGCAGTGAGCAGAGATTACACCACTGCACTCCAGCCTGAGCGACAGAATGAGACTCCATCTCAAAACAACAACAAACCCAAACTGCTTTATAGGAAAATCAATGATCAATGAAGGCATAAAAGAGGAAACAGGACAAAGGGCAGGTGGGTCAGAGTCAGGGAAGGCTTTGCTAGGGAGTGATGTTTAAGCTGTAATATGAAGAATGAGAGTGGGTCAACTAAATAAATCATGTCCCAAGTGTTGCAACAAACACGTTGAAAGGTTATGTGGTGTTCCAGAACATGAAACGCTCTATGGTTTGGTATGGCTGGAACCAGAGACTGGGGAACAGGGGTGGCAGTGGAGCATAGTATAAAATAAGGCTGGATTAGTAGGTGATAGTCACTCCATTCTTAATAATTTAATTGTTATAAAAAGACTGTATTAGTCAGCATAGGCTACTACAACAAAATAATATAGACTGGGTGACTTTACACAGCAGAAGCTAATTTTCTCACTGTTCTGATGGCTAGAAATCTGAGACCAGGGTTCTGGTGAGGGCCTTCTTCTTGCTTGCAGATGGCTACCTTCTTGCTGTGTCTTCACATGGCAGGGAAAGGGGATGGGGGGAGAGGGTGCAAGAGATCTCCTTCTTCTTATAAGGCCTCAGTCCTGTTAGCCTCATTCACTCTTATGACTTGATTTAACCTTAATTACTTCCTAAGACCTTATCTCCAGATTGAGTCACATTGGACATTAGGGGTTCAACGTACAAATTTTGGAGGCACATATCAGTCCATAGCACAGACCACCAGAAAGTCATTGAATGACTTACAGAAGTGAGAAGATGTGATCACTCATGACAAGATATCCCTAGATGCAGTGTAGACAATGGACAGAAGAGTACAAAGGTGCAAAAGTGGCATGAATGCCACTTAGGAAGTCTTTGCAATAGTCCAGTTAAATTCAGACTGAGTTTACTGCAATGCTATTGTAAAGTAGAGTGATTCCAGACTTATACAGACTACTCAATAAAATTGTGTGGGTATGGCAACCCATTCCATCTGAGAGTGAAGTTACAAGAGGTATTAGGGATGGTGCTTAAGTTTCTAGATTTTTCAACTAAATGGGTAATGGAGCCATTCAAAGAGATAGGGAAAACTGGGAGAAGGAGCATGAGTTCAGTTTCGTACAAGGCACATTTCAGGTACTTTAGGGATGTTAAATATTTAACCCTTTTGAATGATAATGGTATTTTGTCAGAGTCATTAATACTAAATGCTGGAACAAATGCCCTCTGCATACTGTTTTTGAGACAGAGTCTCGCACTTGTTGTCCAGGCTGGAGTGCAGTGGCACAATCTCCGCTCACTGCCATCTCCACCTCCCGGTTTCAAGTGATTCCCCTGCCTCAGCCTCCTGAGTAGCTGGGATTACAGGTGTCTGCCACCTCACCTGGATAATTTTTTGCATTTTTAGTAGAGATGGGGTTTCACTAAGTTGGTCAGGTTGGTCTCAAACTCCTGATACTGTGATCCACCTGCCTCAGCCTCCCAAAGTGCTGGGATTACAGGCATGAGCTACTGTGCCCAGCACTTTCCACATTTCTATAGAAGAAGTCAATATCCTTCCTACAAAATCTGCAACTGCTCCTGTATTGCTTAATATTAATATTGCTATTTGCCACCTTACCCATCCTATGAAATGCTTTTCTCCTCACCTTTTTCTCAAAATCGATTTCATTATCAGGTTTTATTTATTCTTCCTTGGTAATGTCTTGAATCAAAGACCTCTTTCTATTTCTAGTGCCAATAAATAAGTACATATTTTTATTACTAGCTCAAATGTCACTTCCTTCTTGAAGCCTTCTTTATTTCTCCCAAATTCATTTTTTATGTATTTCACAGCATTAAAAGAAAAATAGGCTGGGCATGGTGACTCACGCCTGTAATCCCAGCACTTTGGGATCACTTGAGGTTAGGAGTTCAAAACCAGCCTGGCCAACATGATGAAATCCCATGTTTACAAGAAAATACAAAATTAGCCAGGCTTGGTGGCACATGGCTGTAATTCCAGCTACTCTGAAGCCTGAGGCAGGAGAATTGCTCAAACCTGGCAGGTGGAGGTTGCAGTGACCTGAGATGGAGCCATTGCCCTCCAGCCTGAATGACAAGAGTGAAACTCTGTCTCAAAAAAACCAAAACACAAAAATTACCTTACCATGTTGTGAATCATCCTCAGGTGAGTGTCCAACTACTAAAAATATTCCATTCTTTACAATTCTTATTGGGGCCTCCTCCTTTCTTCCTTTTCTCTTCTATTTTTAAAAAATGTGTTCCAAATAATTATTTGCCCAGTACATATAACACAGTACCGAAATTGCCAAATAGATGTGGATTTACCACATCTACTCAATTAGTGTTGAAGATGACCTGATATATAGAATCACAATACATTTGGGGAGAGGGTACCAAACTTCTAAATTATAGGTCACCCTACTCTTGTGGTGGACTTCAGTGAAACTGGATTTGCAGAACCTGCCAGGTTAGTATTATCCAGAATCAAGCCAGCTTTTTGGACATGCGTTTCAACTTTACACAATTGGAAGAATAAAGTAAGCCAATTTGGCTCTGTTTAACAAGCATTTGGATTTCTTTTGATGTAAGACATGTTTCTTTTTTTTTTTTGAGACGGAGTTTCACTCTTGTTACCCAGGCTGGAGTGCAATGGCGCGATCTCGGCTCACCGCAAGCTCCACCTCCTGGGTTCAGCCAATTCTCCTGCCTCAGCCTCCTGAGTAGCTGGGATTACAGGCACGCGTCACCATGCCCAGCTATTTTTTTGTATTTTTAGTAGAGACGGGGTTTCACCATGTTGACCAGGATGGTCTCGATCTCTTGACCTCGTGATCCACCCTCCTCGGCCTCCCAAAGTGCTGGGATTACAGGCTTGAGCCACCGCGCCCGGCCAAGACGTGTTTCTAATAGGACATTTTGTTTGTCCACAACTTCTTGGTTCTGAAAACTGTCTTGAGTATCCCAGTCTACATTTGTTCTTTCTAAACTTCACCAAATTCCAATGAAATTTGTAATTTTCACTACAAGTTTGAGGAGCCAACTGCATACGGTGTGGAACCATTTCCCAACACTTTCACTTCTTTTGGTCTTTTTTATTTGCCCACCCAGAAGACAACATCAGATTAACTGGTGAAAATCCTCACCAACGGGGCAGTAGTTGTGAGCACGGACAATTCGTGTTGACTCTTGGCCTCCTCCCGCTAGTACATCCTCCAAATCCCTGAGGCGGCTTTTGCCCGCTCGCGCACCTGGCCCTACAGGCCACGCCTCCAAGTCTTCACCTCCCACTAGTACATCCTCCAAGTCCCTGCGGCGGCTTATGCCCACTTTCTCACCTGGCCTTCTAGGCCACGCCCTCAAGTCTTCCAAGAGGCCAGCGGAAAGCGCGGTCCACCTCCTGCTCCTCCTAGGCGTCAGCTTCATGCCCCGCCTCCGTCGCGAGGCCAGCTCCGGCCCTCGCGCTCCCTGGCTCCGCCCCCTCCAGCTCCCTAACGTCCTCCGCGTCGGGCCCGAGCCTGCGCCTGCGCGTGCGCCCTGGGGCCCAAGTTGGGGCGCGCCTTGGCTAGAACGCGGAGAGCGGCGGGCAGTGCAGCCAATGGGAGGCGGCGTTGCCTAGAGGCTGGGAGGCGGGGCCTACGCGGGTGTTAGGTTAGCGCGAGGCGTGACCTAGTTGACAGGCTCTGAGGTGCTGCTGTGGCGGCGGCCGCGGGGCTGAGGCGGGTGGGAGCCGGAGCCAAGCGCGGGCTGAGGGAGGAGGGCGGCGACTGGAGAGCGACGAGCGGCGAGCAGCGCAGGAAGCGGAGCCTCTTTCACTTTTTCCCTCCCGAGTGCCCCCTCCCGCCCCTCCCACTCCACACACACCCTGTTTGCCCGTGAGCCTGGGGAACTTGCAGCTTAAAGCCAGCCACCCCCACGGCAACATGTACCCCAGCAACAAGAAGAAAAAGGTGTGGAGAGAGGAGAAAGGTAACAGGCCCGTCGAGTTCTGGGGGTGCGGGCGGTGGGGGTTGGGGTGGGGGCGGGGGTCAGGCTGTGTGTGTGCCGCGGCGCCCTCCGCCCGAGCTCCCGCCTCGCGCCCTCCCGGCCGGTGCCGCCTCCCTCCCATGTCCGTGTGTACACACGCGCACACGCGCGCGCACTCCGGCGTGCACGCGCCGCCCCCGGGCACCTGCAGCTCGCGCACGTGTGGGCGCACGCCCCTCTCTGCCGCCCTCGTTGCTCGGTCACCTTCTCCCGAGGCGGTGCTGCGTTCGCGTTGCTCCTCTCAGCGGGGACCCCGAGGTGGGCAGTCCCGGGGCGGCACAAGTTCCTGTGCCTCGCAGCTGGGACTTGGGTACTGTCGGTCCGGGTGTCCCGAGGACACGTGCCCGCCGGCGGGCGCTCAGGCTGCAGCTACCGCTGTGCCTCTGAGCCCTCCCTCTCTGCACCCTCATTCCTTTCCTCTTCGCCCCTGTCCCCCCAGCCCTCAAATGGCAAAGTGTCCTTACCATCGGGTGTTTACCCCTTGTCTGGGTCTCCCTCCTTCAACGCCGCTGCATGACTTTTTGAAACCTGGAACTCTAGGGTAGCCCTAAAACGAGCGTGTTGCCCGTAAGGATAGATGCCTTCAGGGAAGTCTGAATGAGCTTTTCTCCCAACAGTGTGTTTCTCTGTGTTCCATCCCCATTCATGGGCTGAAGTTGCTCGGAGTAAGATTGTGTGACTAATGTCACTCTGAATTTTGTGCATGTGAAGGTTTATCCAAATCCACTAGGTTGACAGTGGCACTGATTCTTTAAGAAACTGAAGTGTGCGATCCAGCCTCTCCTCTCAAGTTCTCCCCCTTACCCTATCACAGTTAGATAATATTCTACCTGGAGTGTCTCTGGCGTTTTTTCACCGTCCTTTTCACATCCCTTTGCTTTTCATTCTTTAGCTATTTTCAGAAATGTTGCAACAACTTACACTCCTATTGTTGAAATACACTAAAACCTGTATAGCAAGGGTGAGGTCTGTTGAGGGTAGTAGTGCACATTTCTCCTGGGTACCTCATCGTTTCAGAAGGATATAGGGTGACTAGGTAGAAAGTTGATTTCCTTGTTAATATTTCGTTAAGACCTGTAGATTTTTATTGCAAGTCGTGGCCTTTGTGAACATGAAAGCCAAACAGTGGAGGTAAGAAAGAGAATTAATGTGTAAAAGGAATCCTTGATCTGCTCCCACATTGCATGAACAAAGGCATGAGGAAGGGATTTTTATTTTTTTAATTTACTGCAGGAAGAGTTAACATAACTGAACAACACAATTAAAATGGTCTTTAAAATATTGAAAGTTAAATTATTTCATTATGTTTTAATAATTATGGGCATATAGAGAGCTAACACTTCTGGTGTCATAAAACAAATGCTGTCGAGAATAATAGCCTGATATAGTAGCGTAAAATAATTTTGCTTCGTTTTTTCAGTAGTAGTTACTTTAGTTTCAACACCCCTTCAATAAGGATTTACCTTGTGAGCATTGAAAAATCATTTATGCCCATATTTATTGATGATGTTGAAATGTTAGCTTTGTATTATTGATGACCATGAGGGTGAAACAGTGGAAGACATAGACATTGTTTTCACTAACATGAATCATTGATGAAATTACAGTGAGTACTTAACTATTTTTCTGTGGTAATAGAAAAACAATGTTCCTCAAGTAATAATACCGTTATAATGTTTCCTTCGTTTAGCATCTACACAGTTGGACTGTGACCAGCAGGCATTTAAGAATGTTTTGTAATGTCTTGATTTCTTTTCTCCTATTTCTTTTAATAATGGAGAAGATATAACCAATTTTTTTCTAAGCAAGCAAATGCACAATTAAATAAGGCAGTTAACAAAGTAATTATCTAAAACTAATTTATTTTAGCCTGAAATTTAATGTTAAAAGAAAAGATTACAGTGATTTGAAGAATTTAATGCATGTCTCAATGTTTTTTTTTTTTTTTTTCAGGATGTCTATGTTTTGAATATTTAAATATAAAATATATATTATACCCCCAAGGAGGAGCTAAGGATTTCTACTACCACAGTTAGTATTAGAGAAGCTGATGGGATGCGTGACCTTTTTCCTTTCATCCCACTGGGGAGCTGGATATAGTATTTTTGCAGCTGTCCTTTAAAGCTAAAGGAAGGCTTACTTACCTCATTGAAATGTCAAGGCATTCTATAAACATATTTTTAACTCAGTATACCATTTAATAAGTAGGTCTGCCTACTTATGTGCTTGGTTCACAGAGAAAGGATTCATTGTAAAGGTGAAGCATTCTTTAAAGAAAAGTTTTATGAAATGACCAAAAACTGCATATGTATTTGTGGCCTTCAGTATGTTTCATTGTTTAAACAATTAAGGAGTTCTAAAGATCACATAAGTTTAAATAAGCATTTTTGATTTAGTATTTTGAGTCCTAATTCAGAAACATTTAATGTGCATTTTCAAGTATTGCAACTTATTTCATTGTTTTGTCTTAAATTGATCTCGTTTTTGTTGTAAGTGTTGACACGTCAACTTTTAAATAAATGGAGCAACAGAGGCCCGGTTGCATTTCTGTGTATACCTTTTGACATTTACAGAAACTGTAAGTTGCTTCATAATGTCTTTTTACCTGCTCAGTAATATTGTAATAATTTTTATTTGTGATCTGAGCTTTTTTAGTACTGCTTTGGCATACTGCTAGTCATCTCCCTTTTCTGTCTTTGTGTGATAATTCTAAATTTTCTTATTCTCCCAAGACCCTATCCCCCATACTAAACAGTTGACATTGTCTTTTTAATTCAAAGAGAAAATAAATGCCATGTAATGTGAACAGCCCTAACATCCTCTTCTGTAGTCTCATTGGTCTGTTCCTTTACATGTCCTTTTGGCTTTGTTCTTAGAAGAAGCACTTTTCTTCCTTGTGTGTAAAATTAACCTTTCTGCTTGCACTCTTTATCCCCTATCTTGTATTCTTTGAGTTCTTAACACCATCATGTATTCTTTCTTGGATATGTTTAATTTCTTGGTGTCTTCAGGTTCTTCTCTATTGCCTGTAACAGTGCTTGGATGTCTTCTACCTTAGAGTCACTTTTCTTTCTTCCTTTCTTTTTTTTTTAAAGGCCCGGTTTCACCATGTTGGTCAGGCTGGTCTTGAACTCCCAACCTCAGGTGATCCGCCCGCCTTGGCCTCCAAAGTGCTTGGATTACAGGTGTGAGCCACTGCACCAGGGCTAGAGTTGCTTTTCTTTCATAGCGCTTCACCTTGGAGTTGCTGTTCTCACTTTACTTCTTTTGCTCAGTCCTTCATAGTCTCCTGGATTTCCATTACATTCTAATGAAACTAATGTTTCTGAAGTCATTCAGTAGTGACAATCATGATAGTTTTAATATAAGAATAGTTAATATTTAAGCCCTATTTATGTGCTCAGTACTAGTCTTAGTCATTTACATGGATTATCTTATTTAATTCTCACAACTACCCTATGAGGTAGGAAACTGTATAAGGTAGAATATTGTAAGGTTAAGAGCTTTAAATACCAGTTGTCTGGGTTTGAATCCTACTTATACTGCACTTAACTAGCTGTGGGATATTAGGTAAGTTATTTGACATTGTTTTTAGTTTTCTTATCTTTAAGTTGGGAATGATACCTACCTACTTACCTCAAAGGGAAACTGAAACATAAAGAGGTTAAGTAACTTACCCAAGATCACACAGATTTGCACGATTTACATTAGAACCCAAACAGGGCTCTCTGTTAACCACATTTCCTCTTTTCCATGCTGTTGGTAACCACATTGATAAAAGCAGGTTAATGGCTAAGTAATTTTTCACTTTTTCTGACCTTCCTGTAGTAGTTGACGGTATTTCCCTTTTTCTAGAATTTTGATTAAAACTGTTTCCTGAATGTTTTCACATTACTAGGAACTTGTACCCCTGGTGACAACTAAGATTTATTGTATTGTTTTCCTGTTTCTGCCCACTTCCTAAATACTGTGTTTTGAGGTTTGATGCTCCCTTCCGTTCCTTCTTCTTTTTAATTTAGGACTAGAAGTTTAGGTTATAATTTCTAAAATCGCTAGGCTAGACCACTCTTCAAGTTTTCAGATTCTTGATTTCAACTTCTTGAGTGTCCTATAGGTACTTTAAACTCAATTTTTGTGAATATGTCACCTCTGATTAAGATATCTTATTTTGGCCAGGCGCATTGGCTCATGCTTGTAATCCCAGCACTTTATTTATTTATTTTTTTGAGGCGGAGTTTCGCTCTTGTTACCCAGGCTGGAGGGCAATGGTGCATCTTGGCTCACCGCAACCTCCGCCTCCTG